AACCTCGATTTCATGAACCAACAGAGGTTGGGGGCGAACGTAAATGCTAACTGTTTGTTAAATCCAAATGATGAGATTATTCTTAATGTTTGTAACAATAATGGACAATTCTAGAAGCAATGGACTTTGTTCATTAAATCCAAAATCAACTAACCAATAGGACAGTAACAGTACTTGACTATTCCAGATTTAGTGGACTTGTCCATTGTTTCTCAACATTGTCTGGCCACAGATTTTGTCCATTTAAATTGAAATTAATTACACTGAGGTCTTATAAATGGAGATTTTAAAGAGTATTTCCATTAGAACATTTTTTTTTTTTTTGAACTTTTAAGTGATTCCTGGAACAATTGACAAGTTTCATTTCAGTCAATAATGTGTTATCGGAAAGGGAATTTTTTCAACATCTCTTCTCATAGAAGTTATTTTACTACAATCACAAATAAGATTTCAATGATTATTGTAATATCATTGAAGTAGTAGCATGGTTGCCCAATTTTAATGTTAACCCATTAAATCTGTAGTTATATATTTTCATTATAAACAGTGTGTCCTATTCGTATTTAAAACTTTCGAAAGCAAGTTTAACAAGGACCCCCATGAAAATAAGTCACTCTGCCTGACATTTTTGGGTTATCTTAGATAATTTACACTATGTATGATAATAGTACTTATGTGTACCTAAATAAATTTACTTACTTTACTTACTTCCATACTAGCTTCAAAACATGATTTCAGACAGAGATCAATATATACAGTCTCTTTTTACACAGTTTGTGTCTCCTGTGGATTTCCTCAATTCATTAACAAAGTGTCCATTGCACTTTGATGTTTCATCATTGAATATTAAGTACAGGTACAGTGCTTATGATCTAGGAAATTCCAAGTCAAATTCATAAGTTCATTTCCATAGCAGAGCTTCAGATTTATTCTTAACCCCTTCAGGGTCCAGGGCCCAAATCTGAAGTGGTGCCCCAGTGTCCAAGAATTTTAAAAAAAAAAATTTGTTATTTTTTCTTATGAAATCGTAGAGAATCTTTTTGTGAAGGTAATAAAACAAAAAGTACAAAATTTGGTGGAAAATTGACGAAATTATGCTCTCGCGAATTTTGATGTGTCAGCGATATTTACGAATCGGCGATTTTGCCGACTTTGACTCCCATTTTAGGCCAATTACATTATTCCAATCAACCAAATTCTTAGCTATTTCACTAGTATTACTTCCATTCTATCGATTGAGCACAAGAAATCGCCAAGTCAACTGTTTCAACTACAAAATAAAGTGATCGGAAATTGTTAATTTGGCCAATTTAACACAAAGTTCAAAATATTCCAATTTCAAAATAGGCTCCAGAATAAACAATGTAGGTATTCCTGGAACTAAACTAACATTTCCTCTGTTCATTAGTTACATTTTGAGGCTTTACAAATTAATTCCATTTTGATTTTTTATTCACATAATGAATTTTTATTCACACCAAAAAAATAGAAGATTTACTGTTATGCAATACTGTAATAATTGTATAAATATCATCACCATATTTGTGAAAGTATATTAGACCCACCAGCTGACGTGTATTAGATGTGTGAGGTCGTTTGTTTACTCTTGAATATCGGCAAAAATTTAACATTTCCGCTACTTTAAGCTCAGTTTCAAGCCATTTCCAGTGCTAAAACCAATCAAAATCATCTCTATTTCTGTAATGTGTCTTCCATTCTATCAAATGAGACCAAGAAATCACAAATAAAACTATAAAAAACATACGAAAAAACACTGCAAAGTCGCTGTTTTAATCGAAAAATCATGATTTCAGTTTTTTCTCTCATTATACACAGTGTGCTGCAGGATCTGTTTTATGTGGTGCACACATACCACATAGATGTATTCTCTCATATCTAGGCCCAAATGTACCACTCACAGTTTATCAGAGTGAGCTGAGCTCATGACGCAGATCTACGGTTTGGACCCTGAACGTAAAGCCGTAGATCTACGGGACGGACCCTGAAAGGGTTAATCAGCATATAACTGCTGAAAATGTAATAACTAACAGGCAAGAAACTTATCAGTAAATTGATTTAAGATCAGATGCATGATTGCCCAATGGTATAAACCAACCCCATCTATAATCTTAGGAATCTTTACTTAACAGTTCAAGATTTAGTCAGTTTTCAATAAATAAAAGCAACAATAATGGACAAAATACTTATAGCCACAAATATGATACACTGGTGAATAGTGAAACAAAAATTTTTATATTTCACCATTTATTGAATTTATCACTCAAGTGTATCAAATTTTCATGTAGTTGAATGGCATTAAATAAATAGAATATTGTTTAGAAGAATTATTCTTAATATTGTGCTCATGTCAAAAGAAATATAAAATATGCTTGATATCTGATCAATATTCAAATCTAATTATTTAGTTTAATCAGTGTAACAGAAATTTACACAATTCTTCACAATAGTTTATAAGCAATTGCCAGCAAAAGGATGCAGTTCACAAAATAATTTATATAATCTCAAAAAACAATAAGCACTTTGAAGCAAATCCTTTCTAAAAATGAAAGCATTAAGCTTTAACTTAATATGAATATGATATTGCTCTAATAGTAATACTCCAGTAGCCCAACTGTGCACAAGTCTACCCTTGACTTTTTGTACAAAACTCCTTACATTTTCATGTCCTGGGGACAGTAGAAAATTTGAGAATTAAAATACTGTATGGGGTGTTCCTCTGTGCAAAAACAAAATGATAATCACCCAGTCGAAAGTTTTCTCTTCAATCTGGCTTAGCACTGTAATATTTGTTGAGAGAGAGAGAGAGAGAGATGGAGAGAGAGATGGAGAGAGAGATGGAGAGAGAGATGGAAAGAGAGATGGAAAGAGAGATGGAAAGAGAGATGGAGAGAGAGATGGAGAGAGAGATGGAGAGAGAGATGGAAAGAGAGATGGAAAGAGAGATGGAAAGAGAGATGGAAAGAGAGATGGAAAGAGAGATGGAAAGGAAAGAGATGGAGAAGAGAGATGGAGAGAGAAAGAGATGGAGAGAGAAAGAGATGGAGAGAGATGGAGAGAGAGATGGAGAGAGAGATGGAGAGAGAGATGGAGAGAGAGATGGAGAGAGAGATGGAGAGAGAGATGGAGAGAGAGATGGAGAGAGAGATGGAGAGAGATGGAGAGAGAGATGGAGAGAGAGATGGAGAGAGAGAGATGGAGAGAGAGAGATGGAGAGAGAAGATGGAGAGAGAGAGATGGAGAGAGAGAGATGGAGAGAGAGAGATGGAGAGAGAGAGATGGAGAGAGAGAGATGGAGAGAGAGAGATGGAGAGAGAGAGATGGAAAGAGAGAGATGGAGAGAGAGATGGAGAGAGAGATGGAGAGAGAGATGGAAAGAGAGATGAGAGAGAAGAGATGGAGAGAGAAAGAGATGGAGAGAGAAAGAGATGGAGAGAGAGAGATGGAGAGAGAGAGAGAGAGAGGATGGAGAGAGATGAGAGGAGAGAGATAGAGAGGGAGAGAGATAGAGATGGGAGAGAGAGAGAGAGAGAGAGAGAGAGAGAGAGAGAGAGAGAGAGAGAGAGAGAGAGAGAGAGAGAGAGAGAGGAGAGAGAAGATGGAGAGAGAGGAGAGAGATAGAGAGGAGAGAGAAGAGAGGAGAGAGAGAGAAGAGAGAGAGAGAGAGATGGATAGAGATTGAGATGGAGAGAGAGAGAGATTGAGATGGAGAGAGAGCAAGATGGAGAGAGAGAGATGGAGTCACTATATGAAGATCAGATACACAGTACACACAATGCAATAACTGAAGTAGACTCCCAATCTCATAACATAAGAACAGAGAAACACTGCAACAGACCTACTGGCCATAGCTAGAAAAGTCCTACTGTCTCCAATCATTAACACTTTTTTTTTACCTCACAGCCATCTCCCATCAAGCCAGGATAACCCCAAAAAAAGGAAACACATTCACCTTTGTTTACTCAATCGCTGTCTGAATGATTAGGAACATATTTCCTTTCTTTTGGGTCATTATACACCATTATTAACTACCAAGCCAGTGTTTTATTATATACAAACACAAGAAGAGGGAAGCACTGCAGTAAATCTACTGGCAAAGTAAGAAAACTGAAACTAACATTTTGGTAATATTTATGGTGGGTTGGACAGATACACATGTAGATATGATAAAGTGATAGTTGCACCCATCTGCCTAATATGGACTATTAGGCCTAATGCAATGCCCTTCTATTCATATGCATTTATGTTCTTATACAGTATAAGAATTAAAACACTGGTTTAGTCCTTGCATGAGTGTAATGTATGAGCAAGTATGGCCTGCCTAGCAGAGCCAGTAGGCCTTGTGGTCTTCAGTACAAGGATTACAGTTTATAGTTTATGAAGGGACTCAAGAGAAACTAGTTAGCTGGACTCCTGGATGTGGAAAGTATAGAGTCTCCACTCTGAGGGAAGGATGCAGATGTCACAGTTTGGAGGATCATTAGAAATGCCATGTCTGTGCACTTCTGGCAAGAAGTTTTTGAAATGATAGTGAATGTTTCCATTTTTTTTTTTTGGGTTGGTCACCCTACCTTACTAGAAGATGGCTGGTGTGGTTGAAAATAATCAATCCTTTGAAAACATTACCTGTGAATATGTCGGCCCCCTACTTTGTCAAAACAAAATTTGGACGAAAATCTCAACCTACACTAAAGTTAATATGGTAATTTAAATGCGAATCCTCCAAATAGCACAAACATACCTGTAACACTAGTGCCAATTTCATTAAAAATTATTTCTGCAGATTTGGAATTAGGGATTAATTAATATATACAAAATCATCAATAAAAAAGTGTTTTGGTATGTATTTGTAAAATTATTTTCAAGTGAAATAAGGTGTCATGTACCCCATCACATGTTAATAACATAAAAAACTGATGACAACATTACAGTAAGTCACTATCAAAGGCATCATGAATTAACAAAGACCAATGGAAGCTTACTATTGTTACTAAGATCTATCGCTTCACTGGTATATGGGTTGTAGTTCAATCTCTTTGATGGAGGATCATTGTAGTGCCTTTTCCCTTCCTCCAGTGTGTTTTCCAGGTTGACTCTTGAACGCTTCAAACCTGCAATAAGAGAACTACATTTAGAAAGAGTCTCCATTTTCACAAAATATAAATGAAGCACTGTATTCAAATTATTGTAAAACTTAAAGTAAAATCTTGATTTACAAATACTGATTTAACAGATTTTGGGTTTAATGGACAAAATCCTTTGTTTGGTCAAAGTCCATGATTTTGAATTTAATGGACAAAGTATATAGTTTCCAGAAATGTCCATTACTGTCATGACTTGCTGGGAAAATTTGTTTTGGTATGAATAGTAAAGTTCATTATTTCCAGAATTGTTCATTACCATTACAATAATGGAAAAAGCAATCTCATCGTTCAGATTTAACAGACAATCAGTAATACCAACACCCTCTCCCCATATTAATTTGTCCTCTCCCCATATTAATTTGTCCTCTCCCCATATTAATTTGTTAAATCAAGGTTTCACTAAAATTGCCAATTGCATGAAAGGAAATTCTAAATTAAAAAAAAAAAAAAAAAAAACATGAATATTCCAGGAAATCCTAAATTAAAAACATAAATACTCCAGGAAATTCTAAATTAAAAATACATCCAAAGTTCTTGACAACCTCAGTCAATCACACTAGACAAGTGCCATTCCTAAGAGAGACCACTGAAAAATACAAAATGCATTTCAACCAATCTAGACACTACCTGCATGCAACTTACACTACTGAGAATTTAAATTTGTAGGTGCCTGGGAGAGTAGCAATGAAGGTAATGTGAGGACATGAGGTGTGAATGAGCAGAACTCCTGTTATCTTGCACCTTTGCTCACTGACACACTCATTACACAGGCAGCAGTGGTATTAACCACAGCTCAACACAACTACGACACAATTATTTAATCTAGTTTCTTAAAAGATCTCCACACGCACGCTAACAGACACACACACACACACACACACACACACACACACACACACACACACACACACACACACACACACACACGCACACATACACGCACACACACACGCACACACACACACACACACACACCTACACACACACACACACCTACACACACACACCTACACACACACACCTACACACACAACAGGCCTAGTGTCTAATCGACATGTGCCTAGGACAGAATGGTAACTAACTAACTAACACACACACACACACACACACACACACACACACACACACACACACACACACACACACACACACACACAAAATAAAAAAAAAGGAGAGAGACTTTACACACATGCATAAAAAAGTTTTCTTAAACCTTTGACTGTTTCAGTCATATATATACGTCTTACAAGCCACTGTGTTTGATGTATATATACTCATAAATTCTAGCGGCTTCAAATCATGCAGGAGAAAGCTGGTAGGCCCATATGTGAGAGAATGGGTCTGTGTGGTCAGTGTGCACCATATAAAAAAATCCTGCAGCATGCAGTGCATAATGAGAAAAAAATTCCGACCGTTTTTTTTTTAATTAAAATGCCGACTTTGTGGTCTATTTTCATATAGTATTTATGGTTGTATTTTTGTTTTCTTGGTCTCATTTGATAGAATGGAAAACATACTATAGAAATAGAGGTGATTTTGATTGGTTTTACTATGAAAAGAACCTTGAAATGGAGCTCAAAGTAGGGGAAATGTTTGATTTTTGCCGATGTTCAAAAGTAAACAAATGATGTCGTTTTCCAATAAATGTCCAAGTAGCCATTCTAATATGCACTCATGAATGGGTTGACATTATTTATACAATTATTACAATATTGCAGTAGTCTGCATAACAGTAAATCTATTTTTTGTTTGAATAAAAATTCAAAATAGAAAGCAAGAGTAATATCAGAGGGGCCTGGTGACGTGACTGATGAACAAATAAAATGTTATTTTAGAGCCAGGAATGTCTGCATTGTTCATTCTGGACCTTATTTTGAAATTGTCATATCTTTTAATTTTCATGAAATTGACCAAATTGCAAATTTCTGACCACGTTATTGGGTAGTTGAAATCGGTAAATGGGCAGTTTCTTGTACTCAATTGATAGAAAAAATGGAGTTCTAAAGAAATAGCTATGAGTTTGGTCGACTGGAACAATGGAATTAGCCGAAAATAGGGCTCAAAAGTGGGCGAAATTGCCGATTTGTAAATATCGCCAAGGTCACTAACTTCATGAGAGTGTAATTCCATCAGTTTTCCATCAAATTTCGTTCTTTTGGTGTCATTACAATCGGGAAAAGATTCTCTATCATTTCATAAGATTTTTTTTTTTTTTTTTTTTTTTGGGGGGGGGGGGGGGGGATTTTTGAGACACCAGGAGGCACCTCAGGATTGGGGGTTGCGACAGTCAAGGGGTTAACACATTGGTCATTTGATGAACTGGGCCATGAGGGTATTGACCTCCCCGGAACATCCTCCAGGTATTCCCACCGAGGCAGGGTGACCTCGAAAAAAGAAGAAACACTTTTGTCGTTATTCACTCTTATCATTGTCTTGCCACAAAATACCAGAGAATCTGGTAAAATATTAACCAAGAAAAAATATTTATCATTCAACCTTAAGCATACTGTACATTTTATATTAAATCTATAGTTCGTGACCAATCTCTGCCAATGAAGGTGAGTTCTCTCTCTATAATTGCATAAAATGAATGCACACAAAGTATGAATGTATTTAGTTAAAAACGAGGAAAAAATTGTTTATTTAAATGTTTTTGTTTAAATATTTGCAATGATCATAACTGCAGATCACTGTGTAAACTCTAAAGTCGGGGATGTACTGCAATAAGTTACATAAAAAGTGAAACTAAATTTCTATACAGAGTAGACCCTTGGATAAAATGCATATAAAAAGCACATTTCTGTAATAATACAGTTAAAAAATGGCAGCATAAATTTAACCCTTTGAGGGTCGACAGGCCCTCTCCGAAACTCGTTCTCAGGGTCGGCCAAATTTAAAAAAAAAAAAAAATTATTTTCTCTTATGAAAAGATAGAGAATCTTTTCCCGATCATAACGACACCAAAAGTTTGAAATTTGATAGAAAACTTACGGAATTATGCTCTCGCAAAGTTAGCGGTCTCGGCGATGTTTACGGATCGGCGATTTTGCCCACTTTGAGCCCCATTTTCGGCCAATTTCACTGTACTAGTCGACAAAAAACATGAATATTTCGCTAGAACTCCATTTTTTCTATCGAATGGGTGCAAGAAACCACCCATTTATAAATTCAACTATCCAGTACAGTGGTCAGAATTTAGCAATTTTGCCAATTTCACACAAATTTCAAAAGGTGCCAATTTCGGAATAGGGTCCAGAATAAACAAGAAAGACATTCCTGGCACTAAAATGACATTTCCTCTAGTCATTAGTCACGTCTCAAGGCCCCTCTTATATTCTTTTGCTTTCCACTTTGAATTTTTATTCTCACAAAAAATATAAGATTTACTGTTATGCAGACTACTGCATTAGTGTAAAAAATGGTATAAATATTATTGGTGCACTTGTGAAAGAATATTAGACTCACCAGTTGACGTGTATTGCACGCTTGGCACGATTTGTTTACTTTTGAAGTTTGGTAAAAATCGAACATTTCTGCTACTTTGAGCTCAATTTCAAGGCACCTTTCATTGTAAAACCAGTCAAAATCATCTCAATTTCAGTAATATGTCTTCCATTCTATAAAATGAGACCAAGAAAACTAGAATACAACAATAAATACTATACGAAAATACACTGCAAAGTCGCTGATTTATTAAAAAAAAATGGAAAAAGTTTTTTTTTCTCATTATGCACCGTGTGCTGCAGGATTTTTTTTAGACTGTGCACACTGACCACATAGACCCATTCTTTCATATGAAGGCCTACCAGCTTTCTCCCACTAGATTTGAGGTCGCTAGAATTTATGAGTACTAGTACGACGAAAACCCTCAAAGGGTTAAACAGCACCATAAAACTTGACTAGCACATACTGTATTAAGTTTCTAAAAGGTGGTTCAGGCATGAGTTGAAAACGAATATGACCATAATAATTAAACAATTATGCATTGTGGCTATAGGAAACTGCATAGTATACAGTTTAAACAATTCTGCACTGTGGCTAGAGAAAACTGCATATATGGTTTAAACAATTATGCACTGTGGCTAGAGAAAACTGCATACATATATGGCTTAAACAATTATGCAATGTGGCAAGAGAAAACTGCATAGTATATGGTTTAAACAATTATGCACTGTGGGTTTGAATCAAGACCCTTTTCTCTGTACAGTTTACTTACCCTCTTCCCTTGTCAGGTCAAAGATAGCAGCAACCAGCCTGACTCCAGACCATTATAAATAGAGCTACTTTCCAGTTTCAAGCATCATTTCCATATTCAATGACCCAAAATTAGTAAAGAATGACTAAATTTTAATTTCAAAACACTTTTGCTGTAGAGCAGTGTTAACTTTTTCACTGTTGGTGCGATAGTACTACAGCTTACAAGCTAGTATTGGTGCCATAGTACTATGCCAAAATTCTAGCGGCTTCAAATATAGTGGGAGAAAGCTAGTAGACCTACACAAGAGAATGGGTCTGAGTGGTCAGTGTGCGCAGTATAAAAAAAATCCTGCAGCACATAGTGCCTAATGAGAAAAAAAAACTCTGACTGTGTTTTTGGTTTAAAACACTGACTTTGCAGTGTATTTTTAAATGGTATTTATGGTCGTATTCTCATTTTCTTGGGTCTCACTTGATAGAATGGAAGATATATTACAGAAATTGCGATGAGTTTGAATGGTTTCTGGGCTAAAGGTACCTTGAAATTGAGCTCAAAGTAGCGGAAATGTTCGATGCTTGCCGATGTTCAAGAGTAAGCAAATCACGCCACGCATCCAATATGTACACTTCAACTGGCGAGTCTAATATTCTTTCACAAATGTGCTGATATTATTTACACCATTTTTACAATAATGCAGTAGTCTCAATAACAGTAAATCTTTTATTTTTTTGTTTGAATAAAAATTCAAAATGGAAAGCAAGCATAATATAAGAGGGGCCTGGGGGTGTAACTAATGAACAGAGAAAATGTTATTTTAGTTCTAGCAAAGTAGATATGAGTTTGGCCGACTGGAACAATGGAATTGGCCAAAAATAGGGCTCAAAGTGAGCAAAATTGCCAATGCGTAAATATCGCCGAGACCACTAACTTCGTGAGAGAGTAATTCCGTAAGTTTTCCATCAAATTTTGTACTTTAGGTGTCATTACCATTGGGAGAAGATTCTCTATCATTTCTTAAGAATTTTCTTTTTTCTTTTTTTTTTTTTAATTTTTCAACACTGAGAGCAAGTTTGTGGGCAGGGGTCTCAACAGTGAAAGGGCTGAAAGTCTAATACTATTATTATTACACTTACGGGAGAGCTGTAAACCTACAGAGACGATACAGCACCTGAAGCAATAAAAAGCAATCAAGTTCTAAGTAAAGGGAGGATAAGTCTAAGTCCTTGGATCAAGAGCTCCTCATTGGCATCAAGGCCCTTCCCTTGAGGGGCAAAAGTCTGATATGCAATGGAAATTCTCACGGATTTTCTTTGTCGATGATACAGTTGTTTTGGGAGATTCTGAAAAGTTACAAAGCTTGGTGGAGGACCTTGGAAGGGTGTGTAAGAGAAAAAGTTATAAGTTAACACAGAAAAGAACAGGGTGATAGGGGCAACAAAATGTTCAAGTAATAAAATATTGGATATCAGATGGAGAGATGGAGTACGTATGGAGGAAGTGAATTTATTCAGATATTTTAGTATAGACATGTTGGTAGATGGATCTACAAAAGACAAGGTGAACCATAAAACAGATGAAGAGGGGAAAAGAAGACTGGTTGTGTGTTCAGTCATCTGTGGAAAAAAAAATTATTTGCAGAGTCAAAAAGGGAAATGTACTAGAATATACATGGCCTTTCAACATTTGGAGCAAGGAAGAGGCTGGAGGCAGTGTAGGTGTTATGCTCAAAATCAGTGTATTGTATTCACTGAGTTGTACTCAGAGTTCTGTTTACGGAGTCAAGGCTGAGCTCCTGGTTCTACCTCCAAGACTATTTTGATAAGTGAGAATATTATGCACAGCATTAAAAGTGCAGAAATTAGATGGCATTGGACTACAAAAAATATAATTTGGAAAGAAGAAGTGGGGTTGTTGAGAGGGTTAAGTCATTTAAAGGATGAAACAGAACAGGATGACACTGTCTGTATAAATCCGGAGTGAAGGGAAGGTTAGGGGTAGGGGACAAAAAAGGTTTTAAGTGGTTAAAGCTTAAGAATCCAACAGGCAATATGAGTATGTTAGATCAGTAAGTGGAGACAAGTGATATTTAAGGTTTGACAAGCTTGTGTTTGTGAACAAGGTAACACTTACGAAAGGATTCACGGGGAAACTGGATAGTTGAGCTAAATTTCTAGAGGTGAGAAGAAAAGTGCATGCACTCTAAAGGAAGGGTGGGACTCTTACTGACTGGAGCATCATCTGAATTATGATGCTGGCACATTTCTGGCAAGACAAACTGAATGAATGGTGGTGAATGAATTCCCTACTTTCATGGATAAACAAATGATTAAAACATCTCAGTGATCAAAAAAGAAGCATATATAAGCATATCAAAAGAGGGGAAGGGCAGTTAAGAAATCAATATATTCAATTAGAGAGAGAAATAAAAAAAGGAATAACAAAAGCAAAATGGGATTATGAGGCTAAAGTTGCAAAGGATTTGAAGATTAACCCAAAAGGGTTCTTTCTGGTAAACAGAAGTAAGATTAGGGACAAGATAGGCCCACCTAAGAGTAACTCAGGTTAGATCACTGAGTGATAAGGAAATGTGTGAACTTTTCAATACCTACTTCCTCTCAGTTTTTACTCAGGAAGATACTAGCAAAATTCCAGAAATAATAAATTATGTAGAACAGGATGATAATAAATTATGCACAATTAGGGTAACTAGTGACATGGTCCTCAGACAAAAAGAGAAATTAAAACCTAACAAATCCCCAGGCCCTGATGAACTGCTTGCAAGGGTTTTAAAGAAATGTAAAGAGGAACTTAGCATACCTTTGGCTAATCTTTTCAATATATCACTACAAACTGGCATAGTGCCAGACAAGTGGAAAATAGCAGATGTAATATCTATTTACAAGGCAGGTGACAGGTCCTTAGCTTCGAACTATAAACCAAAAAGCCTTACCTCCATAGTTGGTAAATTTATGGAATCAATAATTGCCAAAGAAATTCATAGCCATCTTCAAAGGCATAATTTGATTAATGAATCTCAGCATGGTTTTACAAAGGGGCATTCCTGTCTTATGAATTTACTAACTTTCTTCACTAAGGTATTTGGGGAGGTAGATCATGGTAACGAGTATGATATTGAGCATATGGACTTCAATAAGGCTTTCAATAGAGTTCCACATCAGAGGCTGTTGAGAAAACTTAAGGCATACGGAATAGGAGAAATTTTTTCCTGGGTAGAGGCTTCTTCTTCTTTCAATAAACCGGCCGTATCCCACCAAGGCAGGGTGGCCCAAAAGGAAAAACAAAAATTTCTCTTTTCAAATTTAGTAATTTATACAGGAGAAGGGGTAACTAGCCCCTTGCTCCCGGCATTTTAGTCGCCTCTTACAACACGCATGGCTTACAGAGGAAGAATTCTGTTCCACTTCCCCATGGAGATAAGAGGAAATAAACAATAACAAGAACTAGAAAGAAAATAGCAGAAAACCCAGAGGGGTGTGTATATATATGCTTGTACATGTATGTGTAGTGTGACCTAAGTGTAAGTAGAAGTAGCAAGACGTACCTGAAATCTTGCATGTTTACGAGACAAAAAAAGGACACGAGCAATCCTACCATCATGTAACGCAATTGCAGGCTTTTGTTTTACACTCACTTGGCAGGACGGTAGTATCTCCCAGGGTGGTTGCTGTCTACCAACCTACTACCTAGACTGGGTAGAGGCATGGTTGACAAATAGGCAGCAGAGAGTTTTCATAAATGGGAAGAAATCAGAATGGGGCCACGTCACAAGCGATGTTCCACAGGGGTCAATGTTGGGCCTCTTGTTGGTCACAATTTACAAAAACGACATAGACGAGGGAATAAATGGCGACATAAGCAAATTTGCCGATGACACCAAAACAGGCTGTCCAATTCAGTCTAATGAGGACATTAGAGCACCCCAGGATGGTTTAAATAGACTGATGCAGTGGTTGGAGAAGTGGCAGATGCAGTTTAATATAGACAAATGCAGTGGTTGGAGAAGTGGCAGATGCAGTTTAATATAGACAAATGCAGAGTTCTAAATGTTGGACAGGAAAATAACCATGCCACATATAAACTAAATAATGTAATGTAGATCTTAATATTATGGATTGCGAAAAGGATTTAGGAGTTCTAGTTAGTAGTAATCTGAAACCAAGACAACAGTGCATAAGTGTTCACAATAAAGCTAACACAATCCTTGGCTTCATAGCAAGAAGTATAAATAATAGAAGTCCTCAGGTTGTTCTTCAACTTTATATATCTTTGGTTAGGTCTCGTATAGATTATGTTGTGTAGTTTTGGTCACCGTATTACAGAATAGATATAAATGCACTGGAAAATATACAAAGGAGGATGACAAAGTTGATCCCATGTACCAGAAATCTTCTCTATGAGGACAGACTGAGGGCCCTGAATCTGCACTCTCTAGAATGGTGTAGAATTAGGGGAAGGAAGGCGGGGTAGGGGTCGTCCTCGAAAAGGTTGGAGGGAGGGGGTAAAGGAGGTTTTGTGGGTGAGGGGCTTGGACTTCCAGAAAGCGTGCATGAGCATGTTAGATAGGAGTGAATGGAGACAAACGGTATTTGGGACCTGACGAGCTGTTGGAGTGTGAGCAGGGTAATATTTAGTGAGGGGATTCAGGGAAACCAGTTATTTTTATATAGCCAGACTTGAGTCCTGGAAATGGGAAGTACAATGCCTGAACTTTAAAGGAGGGGTTTGGGATATTGGCAGTTTTGAGGGACATGTTGTGTATCTGTATACGTACATGCTTCTAAGCTCTTGTATTCTGAGCACCTCTGCAAAAACAGTGATTATGTGTGAGTTAGGTGTTGAATGATGATGAAATTATTTTCTTTTTGGGGATTTTCTTTCTTTTTGGGTCACCCTGCTTTGGTGGGAGACGGCCGATTTGTTAAAAAAAAAAAAAAGATTGAGGTGAATAAGTGGAAAACAGGAATTAATAAAGGGGATGTAAATAGTGTGCTAAAAGTATCTAGTATAGACAGGACTCGTAGCAATGGTTTTAAATTGGAAAAATTCAGGAAGGATATAGGAAAGCACTGGTTTGGTAACAGATGTGGATGAGTGGAACTCCTGAGTATCGTCATAGAAGCTAAGACACTGTGTAGTTTTAAAAATAGGTTGGATAAATACATGAGTGGGTGTGGGTGGGTGTGAGCCAGACCTGACTAGCTTGTGCTACTAGGTTGGATGCCGTGCTCCTCCCTTAAGTAAATGTGACTGACCTGACCAGGTCAAGGCTTTGGCTTAAGCAGGTGTGAGAACTGGACCTGCCTCACATGGGCCAATAGGCCTGCTGCAGTGTTCCTTCGTTCTTATGTTCTTTTTTTTTTTTTTAACAAGTTGGCCATCTCCCACCGAGGCAGGGTGACCCAAAAAGAAAGAAAATCCCCAAAAAGAAAATACTTTCATCATCATTCAATACTTTCACCTCACTAATACATAATCACTGTTTTTGCAGAGGTGCCCAGAACACAACAGTTTAGAAGCATATATGTATAAAGATTCACAACATATCCCTCCAAACTGCCAATATCCCAAACCCCTCCTTTAAAGTGCAGGCAGTGTACTTTCCATTTCCAGTACTCAAGTTTGGCTTATGTATGTTCTTAAGAATTATTAATTATATGAAGTAGAGAGACATAAAATACATACTCTCTGGAAGATAAGTGAAGTCAAGTGGTTCACTTGTATCTCTGTCAGTGGGTCGCTCAAGTTGTACTTTGACCCGAACTGATGTATTTAGGTTTGTATATCGGTAAGAAGGCGTTCTGAAAGATAAAAGAAATGAGCAATTTTAAGAAAATAATTGTTAAACATCTAAAATAGTAAAATTCACAATATATTCCCAAGAGTCACAAACAACATCAACTTTTGTAAAACAAGATACTAACCTGAATACAATTGCATACTGGTGATGCACATCAGCATCTGTGAATTCCCCATAAGCAGTCCAAATTTCTCTGTCATTCTGATCCAACTCAAAGAATTTTATTTGAACATTATCTGAAAAAAAACAAGAAACATGAAATAAGTAAAGATCAAAGTTGTAGTCTACTCTGACTTTTATTATTTTGTCCCTCCTATAGATAAATAAGATCTGAACACCACTGGTGAATCTTCTTGCCTTTTCCCGTCTACTCTATCAATAAATTTTGACATTCCCCAATAAGGTATTCTCCACACTCCCCAGTTCCTTTTCTATATCAATGACCTACTAAATTCCACAAAAACTCAATGCCTAAGGAACTCCCATTGTTAAATGGAATTTTTTTTTTAACACATCAGCCGTTTCCCACTGAGGCAGGGTGACCCAAAAAGAAAGAAAAAACTTTCATCATCATTCAACACTTCCACCAAATTATCCCTCAAAATATCACTGGGTGGTTGTTGGCCTTTAACCCTTCAAGTAGACGTCGTGCAGATCTACATTACTGATGCCAGGGTCGATCACGTAAATCTACGTTTTGAGCACAGCTCCCTCAGATAAGCTATGAGCAGTATATTTTAACCTAGATATAAAAGAATGAGCCTGTGCAGTGAGTGTGCATAGTATAAAAAAAAATCCTGCCCCATGTAGTGCATAACTGGAAAAGCAAAATTCTGACCTTGTGTTTGGTCTAAAATAGTGACTATGAGGTGTTTTCTAGGATGGTCTTTATGGTTTTATTTGCCACTTCTTGGTATCATTTGACAGACTGGAAGACACACTACTGAAGTAAAGATGATTTTGGGACCAGAAGTAGCTTGAAATTGTGCTCAAAGTAGTGGAAATATTCGATTTTTGCCTCTTTCCTGATGATGGGTATGGCCTCCCCCTTAAGCCCCATCTATTTTATAAGTTTTATTAAGTCTAATCTAATTATTGGGATACCATAAACCATGATGAATCATTCCTGGTCATATTTTATTATCCAATAGGGTAAGTCTTCAATTTTTTGCGAAGATGAATTCAGAATGGAAGGAAAATGTAATATAGGAGAGAATAAAAAGGCACAATATCATGACTGGAACAATATACAAATAACCTGCACACAGGAGAATGAAACTTATGTTTCAGTCCAACTTGGACCATTACCTGGTCATACAGGTAATGTTTAACTAGTCATCATAATTTTCATTCTCCTGTGTGTGGGTTATTTGTTTAATACAGGCAAGGCCTGGAGACATGATTAATGAACAGAGAAAATGTTGTTTTAGTGGCTGGAATGTCTAGTGTTTATTTTTATTTTTAAACTGTAATTACTTTACCTTATTATTATTTACTAACACATCGGCTGTTTCCCACCAAGGCAGGGTGGCCCGAAAAAGAAAAACTTAAAACATCATTAACTCCATCACTGACTTGCCAGAGGCATGCTTACACTAGTTACAAAACTGCAACATTAACACCCCTCCTTCAGAGTGCCGGCACTGTACTTCCCATCTCCGGGAATCAAGTCCGGCCTGCCGGTTTCCCTGAATCCCTTTATAAACGTCACCTTGCTTACACTCCAACAGCATGTCAAGCCCTAAAAACCATTTGTCTCCATTCGCTCCTATCTAACAAGCTCATGCACACTTGCTGGAAGTCCAAGCCCCTCACACACAAAGCCTTCTTTACCCCCCTCCTTCCAACTTTTCCTAGGCCGACCTCTACCCCGCCTTCCCTCCATTACAGATTTATACTCTGTCATTTTATTTTGTTCCATCCTCTCTACATGTCCAGACCATCTCAATAACCCCTCCTCAGCCCTCTGGATAATAGTTTTGGTAATCCCAAACCTTCTCCTAATCTCCAAACTATGGATTCTCTGCAATATATTCACACCACACATTGCCCTCAGACATGACATCTCCACTGCCTCCAGCCTTCTTACTGCAACATTCACAGCCTATGCCTTACACCCATACAAGAGCGTTGGTATAACTATACTCTCATACATTCCCCTCTTTACTTTCACGGATAAAGTTCTTTGTCTCCAGAGACTCCTCAGTGCACCACTCACCTCTGTCCCGTCGTCAATTCTATGATTGCCTTAACTGTGTGTAAAATTAGCCAAATTATCAACTTCCGTGCACTACCCTATAAGGGTAGTTCTGATCATTGAATGGGTGGTTTCTTGGGCTCAATCAATAGAACTAAAAGCTTACTAATGAAATAGCTAAGAATTTGGTTAAATGAAGTAATGAAATTGGCTAAAACAGGACTCAAAAGTAGGCAAAAATCACTGATACATAAACTGGACTCATACCGCCAATTTTGCACATGCGTAATTCTGCAAGTTTTCCATCAAATTTTGCATTTTTGGAGTCTACTGTCAGAAAAAATTCTCTACCATTACAGAAGAATTTTTTTTTTTAAATATGGACACTGTGAGCAATATTAATTTTGGGGTTCTGGACAGTGAAAGTGTTAGATGGCCAAGGATAATAAACTACAAAAAATTGCCCCTGTAAATATGCATTTTAAGTCCAGAGTGAATGTCAAAATAAAAAGAAAGTCAAGTCAAATTTGGTATCATTAGAATTGTGATGTTTATGTACTTCTGCAAATAGAGAATAAATGACAGGAAAGTGTTTCCTCTTCAAGTTACTCTACCTTGGCAGGAAATAACGGCTTTAAAAAACTGACATATTAAATCAACAGGGCATCCCAAAGTGGGAGTAACACTTACTTCTTCTAACTTTCTCAACCAGCAGCCAGATTTCTGTGCCCCCAGTGCAAGGGGCTGAACAAGCAGACATTCGTACAATCTTGAGCTCTCCTGTAGTAGCATTTTCTGATGAAATAAAAGCAGCAAATTAGTCTTAAATTTCTATAATAATGTTCCCTATACATAATGTACCAAAACTAAAATAAAAAATATAAACAGAAGAGTTGGAATTATCAACTAAACTTGGAAAAAGTAAAATTATTTAAAAAGTGGCACTGTATAACCATTGAGAAGACTAAACATTGTGTCCTAATATGCTGGAGATTATGTTCCTACAGATACTACAATGTTAAAATCCATAAATATAAAATTACATCTGCATTAGTTTCAGATTTGAGTTCATTTTCTGCATCAAGGCCATATCTCTTTAATACAGAATGACCCTAATGTGATTGATACAGAAATTCATAAGGTAGATGAAAAAGTATATTTTAGAGTAGACATTCTAACATAATGACTTTCTGAATGAAATGCTATGCATCCAATTTCCAATACATACTGAAAAGACACCAGTTAATAATCAAATTTATTCACTACTCATTCATCAGCAAAAACACTGGATAACTGAACTCAATGAATTAGAAACCTTATGAAATTTGGAAGAGTTGATTGTACTGTTGTTTCATGTTCCAGTGAATATAATTCACTAAAGAAACTCACCTAGAACTTACAAGTCACAAGAACTAGAACTCACAAAAACTTGTAACTGATCAATTATTCTGCACTCTGTATAATACTTTTAATAAAGTATGAAGAATTTAAAAAAAAAATTGTAATAAAAAAGTAAGAGATTAGTAAAAAAATCAATAAACAAAATTCATTAAAAACTTACTGAGATTAAATACAACTTCTGAGTCAACGGGAAGGGTGATCGGACGGTAGCTCTCAATGCTCTTGTCATACTGGAATGCTTGAAACCTCAAAACTACCTTGTTCAGATCCATACTTTTTGCTTCCTCCTCTGCCTCATCATCCATCTGATCACCAGTAAAGATTAATGGTTAATATTTTGAGCTAGAAGAAATGTGTGTTGTCATTAAAAGTGGTATATTTCATTAAGGTATGTTACTGGTGGAGACAATAGGCAAAATGCTGACAGTTAATGAATACTACTTTGTATGTACAACATTTTCCCCAATTTTGGGATTTATGAAATATATGTACAGTGTTTTTTAAGTAGTAGGTTGGTAGACAGCAACCGCCCAGGGAGGTACTACCGTCCTGCCAAGTGAGTGTAAAACGAAAGCCTGTAATTGTTTTACATGATGGTAGGATTGCTGGTGTCCATTTTTCTGTCTCATAAACATGAAAGATTTCAGGTACGTCTTGCTACTTCTTCTTACACTTAGGTCACACTACACACATGTACAAGCATATATATATGTACACACCCCTCTGGGTTTTCTTCTATTTTCTTACTAGTTCTTGTTCTTGCTTATTTCCTCTTACCTCCATGGGGAAGTGGAACAGAATTCTTCCTCCGTAAGCCATGCGTGTTGTAAGAGGCTACTAAAATGCCGGAAGCAAGGGGCTAGTAACCCCCTTCTCCTGTATATATTACTAAATGTAAAAGGAGAAGCTTTTGTTTTCCCTTTTCGGCCACCCCGCCTCGGTGGGATACGGCCGGTGTGTTGAAAGAAAGAAATGTACAGTGTTTGTTGAAGTCTAATGTTGAGTGAATTTTTTTTTTTTTAGAAATAAAGGACTAAACTCCATTCGAGTCTTTTTCAACATATGTACGGTACTGAATATGTATTCTAATCAAGATACAAACAGTGAACATAGATGCAGACTAACCTCTTGAGTACATTACCAACATGAAAGCTTTTCTACAATTATCTCAGTTTCAAAATTTGTTCATAGTACCAAATCAATTGATCACATGTTAAAAATGCCAAATAATTATGATTAAAGTTCAACACACTGGCCATCTCCCACTGAGGCAGAGTAACCCGAAAGAAAAGAAACAAAAGTTTTTTCTTCTCTTTATATTTAGCATACCTTATAGAAGGATTCTTTCCCACTTATTTTGCGCCACATGTATTTCCTTTACACTGCTAACCATTTACCAAAAGACTGATACAACAAAAACACATACCCCCCATTAAAAAATAAACTCACCCTCAAAGTTTGATTCTATAATGATAATTAATCCATCTTTCCATCATGCATAAAACTTAGTTTCTATAACTTGTCATATGTTGGGAAACTATTATTTTCAAGCAATACAGTACACAACCTACTAAATTTCAAAAATGTATTATCAAATCACTAACATTCAAATATCCTTCAACAAACTGAAGCTTAACATACAAAATATCACTTCACTATAAGTGGTTTTTATTGTATGAGCAAGGCAACATTTATAAAGGGATTCAGGGAAACTGGTCAGCCAGACTTGAGTCCTGGAGTGCATACACTCTGAAGCCACTTAAGCCAGTCTGTAGGGAAGAGCCTACGTTTAGGCTATCCACAAGACTATCAATTATACGCCTCCAAGACATCCAACGTATGTATTTCTTACTCCAATATGTCCTTACGAACCCCCATAACAGAAGGGTGAGGGTGTTACTGTCATTTTTTTTTTTTTTTGGGGGGGGGGGGTCACCCTACCTTGGTGGAAGATGGCAGATAAAGTTCAGAAAAAATGTACTGTATATCTTAACAGATTACTGTACATGATATATAGGCTTTTGTTATCTCTACATCTGGCTGAATATACAGTGGTACCTCGGTATACATCCACTTTAGAATAAATCCAACTTGGTATACGTCCTGTTTGGACGTGAAAATTTTTGCTTGGTATATGACCTTTGTTTGGAATACGACTCGCGTGCTAGAACTTGTATGGGTCAAAATAAGTCATGACACCGCATGCTACCCTTGTTTACCTCTCTCTCAAGACAAAACCACAACTGCCTACTAGCGTCGGTACACCTATTGCTACCATTCAGTGAACAACCCGAGCTGTAACTCTGTGAATTTTCACATGATTTTGTGTTTTTCATATAAATTTTTAGTAAATTCATTAACCATTAACCAGGTCCATGGGTCTAGATGTGAGTGATGGTGATGAGGAGGAGTTAGTGGAGAGGCACAGGGAAGAGCTGACCACTGAGGAGCTGCAGGAACTTGAGGAGGAGGAGCACAAGACTAAGATGGATGCACTCTCTTCAGGCTCGAAAGAGGAGACAGAGGAAGCCCCTACTTCATTAATCAAGGAAATCTTTGCCAAATGGATAGATGTCAAAAACTTTGCAGAGAAGTACCACCCCAACAAAACCCAAACAAGCCGTAATAGCATTGTCTGGAATGACCAATGTTACATTTCCGAAACATTCTGAGGAGAAGGAAGAAGCAAAGTTCTTTGGACAGATTTTAAGTAAAAGTCAAACCTGGTGAGCTTCAACCAGATCCAAATAGGGAAGAGAGACAGAAAAGAGAAGGGGACTCTCCTTCCAAACAATAACATTTCCTCCTCCTCCCTTCTCAGCACTATCCTAGTAGGCGCTCGACTCTCTTCAGCAAAGTAAAGGTTAAATTTGCATTTATTTCATCTATTTCTTTTGAATTTATGTATGTATTTTAGTATTAAGCAGTGTTTAAATTACATATTTTAGTATTAACCCTTTGACTGTTTTGGTCGTATATATACGTCTTACGAGCCAATGAGTTTGACGTATATATACTCAAAAATTCTAGCGGCTTCAAATCAAGCAGGAGAAAGCTGGTAGGCCCACATGTGAGAGAATGGGTCTGTGTGGTCAGTGTGTGCAGTATAAAGAAAATCCTGCAGCACTCAGTGCATAATGAGAAAAAAAAACTCGGTTTTTGGATTAAAATGCCAATTTGGAGGTGTATTTTCATATAGTATTTATGGTTGTATTCTTGTTTTCTTGGTCTTATTTGATAGAATGGAAAACATATTATTGAAATAGAAGTGATTTGGTTGGTTTTACTATAAAAAGGATCCTGAAATGGAGCTCAAAGTGGCAGAAATGTTCGATTTTTGCCGATGTTCAAGAGTAAACAGATGACATCATTGTCCAATAGATGTCCAACTAGCCATTCTAATACACAGTCACGAATGGGCTGATGTTATTTATACAATTATTACAATATTGCAGTAGTCTGCATAACAGTAAATCTTCTATTTTTTGTGTGAATATAAATTCAAAATAGAAAGCCATAGTATTATAACAGCTGCCTGGAGATGTGACTGATGAACAGAGAAAATGTTATTTTAGTGCCAGGAATGTCTGCACTGTTCATTCTAGACCCTATTTTGAAATTGACATATTTTTTTAATTTGCATGAAATTGGGCAAAATGCCAATTTCTGACCACGTTATTGGGTAGTTGAAATCAGTAAATGGGCAGTTTCTTGTACTCAATCAATAGAACAAATGGAGTTCTAAAGAAACAGCTATGAGTTTGGTGGACTGGAACAATGGAATTGGCCGAAAATAGGGCTCAAAGTGAACAAAATCGCCGATGTGTAAATGTCGCCGAGGTCGCTAACTTCGCAAGAGCGTAATTCCATAAGTTTTCCATCAAATTTCGTACTTTTGGTGTCATTATCATCGGGAAAAGATTATCTATCATTTCATAAGAAAAAATAAAAAAATTTTTTTTTTCAAATATTTTGCGACACCAGGAGAGACTTCAAGATTTGGGGTTGCGACAGTCAAAGGGTTAAGCAGTTTTTAAATTATTTTATACAATGCCATCAATGTATAATATGCCAGTAACAATAGGATTTTTTCATAGGAACAGATTAATCGTTTTCCCTATATTTCTTTTGGGAAAATTCATTTGGTATAAGTCCAAGGTCCTGGAATGAATTAAGGACGTATACTGAGGTACCACACTACTAATTTTTATTGCACTCAGAATATACATACATATGATGCAGAACTCAAGCCAAATTTACACAAGTCTTAAAGAAATACTCATCACTGTCAATGAATTTTTAACTTGCACCAATCTGCCACAATGGAACAAAAATATATGTACTGCATACATACTACATTATCATAATACATAATTCTTATCTTTTTTAAGGCATCTAATACTGAGCTGTCATGTATCTAATAACGTACCCGTTTGTGATCCGTTGGTGTGATGCTTCTTATGATTTCTTCAAAGGTACAATGTGGTTTACGAAGCCGTGCATGAGCCAGCAATTCATCTCTCTTGCGCTGCATAATTATTTCTCTTGTGTCTCGCTTAGCTATATGAATGATCCCAAGATTCTGAAAACTAAAAATATAAGGGTAACATTAAAATAAAGAGACTACGTATTTTGAAATTATAATACTTATGGATACAGTCTCAAACGTTGCACAAGTGTTTCATTCTTCAATGAATTAAGTATTCATAAGAACATCATTTAATATTTAGATCCTGATGTATTGATTGAGCTCTTAAACTGACATTAGGGTCAGTTTGGCAACCATTAGATGTTGTGCTCTTATCTGGCAAATGACAGAACCTTAACCTTACAAATGAAACTTTATAACTGCTTACATTTTTATAAATTTTATGTAAGCATAATAACAAACAAAATGGGATATTTGAGTAGATTTTCAACCCAACAAAAGCCTCAATGACCACTCACACTGCAGTGTAGTCACATTTATCATCAACGACAATTTCACAAATGCCAGTCTCTTTATCACAATTCTTGCCCGAGAGCTCGTGTACGTGTCGTTTTCGTTGATTGACATTATCGTCAGCTGTGTAAAGTGTTAGGCGTATGACAGCAGGTCCATGGTTCCACTTGCTAAGCTGAAAAATAAATAGACTTGTAACTCAATGAATTTACAATTTAAGCCAGGTGGCTTTATTAAGGATTTATATTTTGAAGATTTGTAGGTAGTAGGTTGGTAGACAGCAACCGCCCAGGAAGATAATACCGTCCTGCCATATGAGTGTAAAACAGAAGTCTCTTTAATTGTTTTCCATGATGGTAGGATTGCTGGTGTCTTTTTTCTGTCTCAAATATGCAATATTTCAGGTACATCTTGCCACTTCTACTTACACTTAGGTTATACTACACTTGCATATACTGTACAAGCATATAAATACACGACCCTCCAGATTTTCTTCTATTTTCTTACTAGTTGTTGTTTCTGTTTATTTCCTCTTATCTCCATGGGGAAGTGGAACAGAATTCTTTGTCCGTAAGCCATGCGTGTCGTAAGAGGCGACAAACATGCCGGGAGCAAGGGGCTAGTAACCCCTTCTCTTGTATACATCACTAAAGTTAAAAAGAGAAACTTTCATTTTTCTTTTTGGGCCACCCTGCTTCGGTGGGATATTGATGATTTGTTGAAAGAAGACGAATTAAATATAAATATAAAATTAAAAAAGCTGAAGTGAACTATTGTACAAAAGAAATTCATGAGGAAATTAATTAATAAAGACAGTTATATGTAGATAATGTTGCATGTAACACAAGGTGAGAAATGTGTAATGTGTGGTAGTAGTGGTGGAAAAAATTAGTTTGATAGTTTGAAAACCTGGAGAGAACAACGACAGAATGGTAACAAATTAGATATACAAGGGACAAGTACTATATCTGCATTTCAATTAATAATGAGCAGACAGCCTAATTTATAATGTAAGTGAAGGTTTCATTTTGGTTATAGCTCAGGGTGGTATTTCAGTAGCAGAGAAAAAACTAGAAGACTGGGCTCATCAAGGTTGCCTGTATTCTCATGCCATAGAGACAGACAGTGATGGAAAATGACTTGCTAAAATTGTACTAACATGATTACAAACAACTCAGGGAACAGTCAGGATTCAAACTCATGGCAAACTACTGTACTTCTAAAACTAGTCAGCCAGTGATCTAGCAGTTAGAGCACTGACCTGCTAGTTTTAGGAGTGCTTTGCTACGTGTTTGAATCCTGTCCATTCCCTGAGTTGACGGACAATATAAAGGATGAAAAAATACAACAGACAATTACATGGAGCAAGAATGTTAATATAACCAAAGAAAAGAAATAAAGGAAAGGTGATTTCTTTAATTCATCCACAGTATATTAACTTGCATAATTTATAGCATTTGAAAATTATAAAACAATTAACATACATACACTTCTGAAGAACAGCTTACCTTTACTGTTGGAAATACTGCTCTATTTTTATCTGCACGATCAGCCTTCAACTGTCCATGAGTTCCCACCATTTCACTTTTATAGCGAAAACGGAATTTGGACTGTGGCTGTTCCATGATGTGGATGTATGGCCCGTCATGATTAACAGCTGTTGGTTAATTAATAGGAAATGTATTCACTTTCATTATCATGCAAAATAAGTAATGTTACAATGTAATTGGATACATGGTGTATCAAAAATTATACAGATCCCAAATTGTTAATATGGCAGAAGGAACATAATCTCAGTTTAATCATAATACTGAGCATATAGCCAGAGAATCACATTACGTGTACCTGAATTACTTCAGTGATATGTGTGAGACTGGTAAACTTAAGAACTGCTTTCAGGAACCTCAAACAAAGATTCCTGTAAATTTACCCCTAAACACATCGTTGGTTAAGAACTTCATATACAAGGAAGCACTGGCATGAAGCCCACAATTGATCAAGCACAAAAAAGTTCAAAGGTCTGAGACAAGAACAATAAGAGAGCTAAGTGACATGGCCTATAATAGAAGAAGGATGAAGCTGAGCTTGACAACTTTAGAAAAACAGGAAAGCCAGAGTATCACAATCATGATTTACAAGATACACAAGGAACAGTATTGACAAGGTGGATAGAATAAATTATTTCAAAGGTGTAAAGACCAGAGACAAGGGGGACATGCCATAATTGGAAACTAGGCACTAAGATAACTTTCTTTTACTCTCATAGTTATTACAGAGTGAAACAGACTGGATGAGAAAGTACAGTAAAAAATATAATAAAAATGACTGTGGGAACCCTCTAATAGATAAACTGCTAAATAGAGTAATAAATTGTTGATGAAATACAAAGCAGAAAATTTTCAGTTAATGAAAATACAGTGATGATTAGGATTTAAATGTGGTCATAAACCACAATCTAGTCATGCTTACACGAGCTCCCACATTTATTCCAATTTCCCAGCCAAAACAAGTCACCATAGATGGTTTATTACCACAATTATATCAACAGGGTATGTGAACACATAAAATAATCAAAATCAAGTTCAAACCAAGCACCCCAATGGAAACAAAACACTATGTCTGACTCTTTTGAGTTATCCTAGGCAATTTACACCATGTATGATAATTGTATTTATGTGTACCTATGCCTAAATAAACTTACTTAACCTAAATGACCACAACAAACATTGCTTTGCTACCAGATGCAAGATATCACAGCTCTTTAATTCAAACCTCCCAAATATAACACTTTCTAAATTTGAGCAATATACAGTAGTCCCCCCCGTATCCATGGAGGATACATTTTAAGACCTACTGTGGATGGCAGCGAACCCTATAAACAAGTCATTTTTTATTTACATACGTACCTATGATAAAGCTGAATTGATAAAGTGTGCAAAATAAGTCTAGAATTAGCACTTTTTCATTGAGGGGAAGCATTTCATGGGTTCTCTTAGAAATACCAGCATCACTACTTTTGTGCTCTGAGGCCATTATTAAGCATAATTAAGGGTTTTTTAGGCTACAGTAAACCATGGATAACTGAAACCGCAGATACCGAATCCAAGAATATGGGAGTTCTACTGTATAAAAAAAACAGCTCATGTGCTATCACCTATTACTGCAACACTGTTCAGCAAATCTACAGAAATTTGTAAATACAGTGGACCCCCGCATAACGATCATCTCCGAATGCGACCAATTATGTAAGTGTATTTATGTAAGTGCGTTTGTACGTGTATGTTTGGGGGTCTGAAATGGACTAATCTACTTCACAATATTCCTTATGGGAACAATTTCGGTCAGTACTGGCACCTGAACATACTTCTGGAGTGAAAAAATATCATTAACCGGGGGTCCACTGTATTGTATACCTGTTGGAAATGAAAAAAAAAATATATATTATTTACAACCAGGCTCACAGGTAAATATTTTTATTGAAAGATCTTATTCAATACTGTCAAATTTTAAGACAGCTTTTAAAGTTATGTGCAGTGGAACCCCAAATATCGGCCGCTGCATTTATTGGCCGAATTGTATTTAGGTCGCTTTTCGGGTGGAAATTTTCCTCCGTATTTCAGCTGGTGCCTTGCAAATCGGCCGTATTATACGCATCAGCCCACCTCCCGCAGGGACACCGCACGTAGGTGAGTCAGTCTCCCTGTGTCTCTCGGTGAATGAGCACATACTCCATGCACTCATCCAAACATTTCCTTAAAATCCATTGGTTTTTGTGCTTGTTTATTAAGTGTGACTGAAATAAGCCACCATGGGCCCAATGGATGATGTGGAGAGAGGCAGGGAGTGTAGCAGGCAGGCAGCGAGTGTAGCAGGCAGGCAGGGAGTGTAGCAGGTAGGCAGGGAGTGTAGCAGGCAGGCAGGGAGTGCAGCAGGCATGCAGGGAGTGTAGCAGGCATGCAGGGAGTGTAGCAGGGAAACAGGGAGTGTGGGAGGCAGGGAGTGCAGCAGGCAGGCAGGGAGTGTAGCAGGAATGCAGGGAGTGTAGCAGGCATGCAGGGAGTGTAGCAGGGAAACAGGGAGTGTGGAAGGGAGGGAGGGAGTGTAGCAGGCAGGCAGGGAGTGTAGCAGGCAGGCAGGGAGTGTAGCAGGCAGGCAGGGAGTGTAGCAGGCAGGCAGGGAGTGTAGCAGGCAGGCAGGCAAGGAGTATAGCAGGCATGCAGGGAGTGTAGCAGGCAAGCAGGGAGTGTATCAGGCAAGCAGGGAGTGTAGAAGGGAAACAGGGAGTGTGGAAGGGAGGCAGAGTCCTTATGGAGGGGGATTCCCCTTCCAAACAATAATCAGTCCTCCCTCTCTCCTCTTCCCTGTCTTCCATAAGCCAACAAGGGTCTTCAATAAAGGTATGTAACAGTAATTTAAATGTTCATTTCTTCTTTCAACACACCGGCCGTATCCCACCGAGGTGGGGTGGCCCAAAAAGAAAAACAAAAGTTTCTCTTTTTAAATTTAGTTATTTATACAGGAGAAGGGGTTACTAGCCCCCTGCTCCCGGCATTTTAGTCGCCTCTCACGACACGCATGGCTCACGGAGGAAGAATTCTGTTCCACTTCCCCATAGAGGTAAGAGGAAATAAACAAGAACTAGTAAGAAAAATAGAAGAAAACCCAGAGGGGTGTGTATATATATGCTTGTACATGTATGTGCAGTGTGACCTAAGTGTAAGTAGAAGTAGCAAGACGTACCTGAAACCTTGCATGTTTATGAGACAGAAAAAAGACACCAGCAATCCCACCATCATGTAAAACAATTACAGGTTTCCGTTTTACACTCACTTGGCAGGACGGTAGTAGTACCTCCCTGGGTGGTTGCTGTCTACCAACCTACTACCTAGGTGTTTTGTGTATGTAAAACTATAATTAATCTTTAAAAAATTTATTTTGTTAATATTTTTGGGTGTCTGAAATGGATTAATTGTATTTACATTAATTTGTATGGGAAATATTGCTTCGAATTTAGGCCTTTTCTAATTTAGGCCAACCTTCTGGAAAGGATTACAGCTGATATTCGGGGTTCCACTATATTTGTTTCTCATCCACTTTGCCAGATGATACACTAGTTGTTTAAGTTTACTGCAGTACAGTACAGCTATGGATAAGAAGATCAAAATAGCAGTTCACACAGCTTTTAGACTAAAACTAGAAAATATATCAGTAGCTGTGGCATAGTGCTTGCATCGTCAGGAACTTAGATAAAACAGAAAAAGTTAGCATTTTGTATAAAAAATTAAACCCTAAATTAAGATGAAATGCAAAGAAAAGTAATGAAAAGAGGATTATGTATGACTTAAGTTCATGAAAGGATACAAGAAAACATAAGGAAGATTCCTTTGTCCCATCAAACAGGGTGATAAAAAGGAAACTTTCAATTTACAAAACATGGTGCACAAAGGACACAACAGAAAGTACTGAGGTAGCTAATGCTGTAAATGAAAACCTGGTAACCTAACACTAAAAACAATGAAAAAAGAGCAAAACTCTGGTTACAAACAGATGGCAAAGGGGTAATGGAAAATTCTTCTTTGCAGAGAGGAAAACAATGGAATGATTTACAAGAGATGCTTTAAGCTAATCTCTGCTACTGTAGCTACAAATGTATAATCACAGGAAGTACATACAGTTGAATACAAATACTCAGATTTCAATAACTGGTATACGTATATTTAGTATTAAATTACTGTCAATAACTGTGCAATAGTTCTGCTTACCCTCATATGAACGGTTAAAGGCGGCAACAACCGTAGGTGGAGACGGTACTCCAACTGACTGGTCTGATGAATATGGAGAAGCAGATTCTCCACTGTATGGGGAATTCATCCCACCTCTGCAGAGAAAAATGACACAAGATCAAAAATTTGGAAAAAAATATAATTACAGTAATTGCAGCAAACACCAAAATCTCAAATAAGATAGCTATTCATTGGATATAATACAGAGATGAAATGGATTAGCTGCCAATACAAACCCAGCATCACAGGTTAACATTGCATGGCCTCCTCCACATTAGCTTTGTGATTCACAGGTTTTTATATCTCCTAAAACACAACACTAATTATAACACAGTATTTTAAACAAATCCTAACTACCCATCACAATTTAGGACTGCCCAATTGTGCTCCTAAAATCATTACAATCTTCTACACGAAAAAAAAAAAATTACTATTTGCTTCCTTTACGTAAAAATATTTAAAAAAAAAAAATGTTGAAGTAAACAAACAAATTTCCAACGCCTGCTCACAGCCATTGTCTTCTATTTATCAAGTTCTCAGAATCAATATTAAAAATTAGTAGTCAGCATGTACCATGAGCCTGCATCATAATCATAAGCAAGGTACTGACAATATGAATAAAAGAAGAAGAGTGTTTATAATTAGGATTTCTGCACTGAGTATGTTTTGGCCAGGTATCAAGGTCTTAGGACTGAAACACATCCAGTGAACTTAACTTAACCTCTGCATATACTCTTGTGTCCTTTCATCCATAACTGAAATAAATTTGCTGAACATGGGAAATATCCTCTACCTTTCAAGTGTGGCCAATTCATCCTTTCATTACATAATACATATCTTAAACAAGAATGCTATTTAACACAGCATGAGTATCTGCAATCTTTTCAATTGGCCTCATTTTTAACAAGTCCTACAAGCTGGCAGCCCATTACATACAGCAATACAGTGGACCCCCGCATAACGATCACCTCCGAATGCGACCAATTATGTAAGTGTATTTATGTAAGTGCGTTTGTACGTGTATGTTTGGGGGTCTGAAATGGACTAATCTACTTCACAATATTCTTTATGGGAACAAATTCGGTCAGTACTGGCACCTGAACATACTTCTGGAGTGAAAAAATATCGTTAACCGGGGGTCCACTGTATTAAGGGAAGAAGGTATGACCAAGGTCCTATTCATTGCTAGTACCCTGCTTTTTGTTTCATTGGAGTAGGAAGAAAATAGGCCAGAAAAAAAAATGGAGGGATTGAGATAGCAGGGTTCAAAACAAATAAAAGACCATTATAAATAGAAAACTTATGAAAAACAATGTAAAATAGAAATTAGTAGAGGCACAGTACTGTATATCTTTTCATAAAAATATGCATCCACACTTATTGCTACCACCACATTTACCAAAATCTCTACAGCAATATCACAGCCACTTACTAAACTAAAAATAAAACACTGCACATGAATTATGGTGCTACTATGCTACTATTAAGTTAAACAGGTGTAAAACAGAAGCCATTTAAACTTTTGAACTTGAGGAAGATTGCTGCCTTAATTTGTCTTGTGAACGTTTAAGATTTTAGGTAAATTTCAAAAACTGTTAATGACATTCTTTATAAAGTAAATACACCTTTATTACTTTCTTGTGTCTTATAGTTCATATATCTGCAATACTAGACAGTAAAACCTCAAAATAATGGACCCTTATGCAAGAGGCTTAGAATGGTGGAAAATGATATTGATATAAGTGCTCATTCAAGATAAACTAACAGGTGAGGCAGGATGTATAGGAAAGTCTTTCTACACCTGCTGCTCAGTTATCCAGCAGTAGGTTAACTGTTGTGGGGTGCATCATAGAGGATCTAAAGAATCTCAGTGAAAATAAACCAATTTCTTTACTTTTGTAGGTTATAGCCACCAGGATTAATAATCCAAAGTCTTCTTCCTTTTCAAACCATTCACAAATTATCAAACTGAAGCTGTATATGTACATATAAATGTACATAGAGATGGCAACATATGATTAAACTCATTTGTCCAATACTAATCATTAAATCTATCCAGGAAGCTCAGGAATACCTCTACCTGTTGATGATTCTGGAGGGAAAAAGCCACTGCCCCTGCAGTCTGTCCCCAGATCAAGCCTTTTGGGTGATGACCTGATAAATCAAGCTGTTGTTGGGGGTGACAGCACTGTACAATGTAGGCTGAACAATAAGGAACTAGTTTTACGAACTTATCAAGTACTCTTTTACAGAAAGCTAGGGATCTGTTGGTAAGTTCCCTGAAGTATGAAGGGAGGGTGTTAAAAAGTCTTGAACCTTATACACAAGTTATCTCTTAGTGTGCACCTTAAACCCCTGATTTTCACTGGGGTATTTTGCAATGTCTGCACCTTTCTTCAAATGATGACCAAAAAGTGCAGCTGCAAGATGTCTTGCAGCTGCACCAGTAGCTAATTGTTTTCTCAGTTAGTCACCCATGCATGTTATGACAAAATACAAACAAGAGCCTTCCAGTAGTGATTTTTTATTGCATTTAACTCACTCATTGAATAGGGATTGTGAAATATAATTATGGTAATATTAACAGCCATAATCCTTGTACTGTATATGCTGGTGCTTGTTTGAGTAAGAAAACAAAGTTGGTATACAACAAAGCTAGGTACTGTATCCAAGTCAAAATCTCTCTATTGCAATGAATATTAGCATAGTGTTTCAAGTTATATTTTGCATCATATCTTTAATAAATGATTTACATAATGGTGCTTGGTAAAGTCCATCATTACTAGTAAGAGTTAATATGGGTACTGTAATGTATATAAATATATATACAGTGGACCCCCGGTTAACGATATTTTTTCACTCCAGAAGTATGTTCAGGTGCCAGTACTGATCGAATTTGTTCCCATAAGGAATATTGTGAAGTAGATTAGTCCATTTCAGACCCCCAAACATACACGTACAAACGCACTTACATAAATACACTTACATAATTGGTCACATTCGGAGGTGATCGTTATGCGGGGGTCCACTGTATACCTAATGCCACGTGACAGTGGCAAATTCTATCATATTTTCAGATAATTTCAATGTTTAACACTAATACCGTACTTCACTTCATAACCTTACTTATCATATAAATTACATCCATTCAACAAGGTTGCCTTGATACTGGTAAAGGGTTCTTGATCAAGGAGAAATTGAGCAATCCTCTATTTCTTTGAATGAAACTTGCAGTAATTATCCTACCTCTCCCAATCCCCATGCACTACATGACATTTACAGGTTCAGTGCTTCCCTGTGAATCTGATTTAATATATGTAATACAATTACCACTACTACTATTACTACCACTACTGCTATTCTACCACTACTATTACTGCTACTCTACCACTGCCATCACTACAACTACAAACAACAACAGTTTAATTTTTTCTGTTTATGTTTCTTTAGATTTTTAGGGTTGGTTAGGTCTAATGCACTCTGACTTTAAAATGCCACTGGCACAAATCAATTTGAACTTTCAATGGTCAACTCGAGTATTAGTATTTGTTAAATATACATAAATATGATATGGTATATACAATACATAAGGTATCCAAAAGAAATAAATCATCTTATTTAGTTTTTGGGTTATAATAATTAAACACCACCATCAGTTACCCTTCAAATAAGATTTTGTTCAGATTTTTAACCCAGAGGTTAGCCACCCAGGATAACCCAATAAAGTCAATGCGTCTTTGAGGACTGTGTCTTATTTCTAATGGGGTCCTTTAAGCTTGTTCCCCATGATGCAAGCCACAACAACTGATTAACACCCAGGTGCCTATTTACTGTTAGGGGAACAGGGGCAGCAGTGGTAAGGAAACATGCCCAGCACTTTCACCCATGCCAGGGATCGGACTACAGACACTCAATTTGTGAACTTAAGAGTGCTATCAACTGAACTTAATCCACTGTTGATGTATTAAAATTTACAGAACACAATATAAAAATACCTTAATAAATTTTCTACATCATAAAAGCAATCCAAGGAGATGGTCTGAATATGCTATCCAGTGTAAATTGTGTTCAGTGCCTAACAACAGCCCAGAGCAATGGAGGATGATCCTCAAAATGTGAGGTTAGCTATCAGCAGCTGTTCTCTGGAGCTAATTCCAGCCTCTAGTGTCAGATCATTCAAGACAGTTATATTGTATTACTTGTGAATCCATCAGCTCATGTTCAGATCAACCTAAATAATATGAAATTACATATTATATTAAATATAAATGAAGGTAATAGGTTGGTAGACAGCAACCACCCAGGGAAGTACTACCGTCCTGCCAGATGACTGTGAAACAGAAACCTGTAACTGTTTTGCATGATGGTAGGATTGCTGGTGTCTTTTTCTGTCTCATAAACACGCTAGATAACAGGGAAATCTTGCTACTCCAACTTACACTTTGGTCACACTTCACAGACATGCACATGCATATATATATATACATACATCTAGGTTTTTCTCCTTTTTCTACATAGCTCTTGTTTTTTCTTTATTTCTTCTATTGTCCATGGGGAAGTGGAAAAGAATCTTTCCTCCGTAAGACATGCGTGTCATATGAGGCGACTAAAATGCCGGGAGCAATGGGCTAGTAACCCCTTCTCCTGTAGACATTTACTAAAAATGAGAAGAAAAACTTTATAAAACTGGGATGCTTGAATGTGCGTGGATGTAGTGCAGGGGAAAAGAAACAGATGATTGCTGATGTTATAAATAAAAAGAATTTGGGATGTCCTGGCCCTAAGCGAAACAAAGCGGAAGGGGGTAGGGGATTTTTGGGTTTGGGGAGAAATAAATGGGTTTTAAAATTCGGGGAGTATCTGAGAGAGTTAGAGAAAAGGGAAAGGGGGGTTGCAAAAAATTTTTGAATGATCGTTGGAAAGGGAGAAAAAAAATTTTAATGTGTAAATGAAAGGAATTTTGGGGAAATTTTAAAGAAAAGGGGTTGGAGGGGGAAAAGTGGGTCTTAAAAAAGCGGTATGCACCGGGAAAGAAGAGAGGAATGAAGAGGAGAGAGAGAGTTTTGGGAGTTTTTTTAAGTGAATTTTATAGGAC